TTTTTGTATTTTTAGTAGAGACGGGGTTTCACCATGTTGAACAGGATGGTCTTGATCTCTTGACCTCGTGATCCACCCGCCTCGGCCTCCCAAAGTGCTGGGATTACAGGCTTGAGCCACCACGCCCGGCCTGTTTTCAACTTTTATTTTAGAATCAGCATGTACACGTGCAGGTTTCTTACAAAGGTATATTGCGTGATGCTGAGGTCTGGAGTACAAAGGAATCTGTCACCCAGGTAGTGAGCAAAGTACACAATCAGAATACTCTTGTATTCCCCAGAGTCTGCTGTTCCCATCTTTGTGTCCATGTGTATCCAATGTTTAGCTCCCACTTATAAGAACATGAGGTATTGGTGGGGTGTGGTGTCTTATACCTGTAATCCCAGCACTTTGGGAGGCCAAGGGCAGCAGATCACGAAGTTGGGAGATAGAGACCATCCTGGCAAACATGGTGAAACCCCGTCTCTACTAAAAATATAAAAGTTAGCTGGGCATGGTGGCATGTCTCAGCTACTCAGGAGGCTGATGTAGGAGAATCACTTGAACCCTGGAGTTAAAGATTGCGGTGAGCCAAGATCCTGCCACTGCACTCCAGCCTGGCAACAGAGCAACACTCCGTCTAAAAAAAAAAAAAAAAAATGCAGTATTTGTTTTTCTGTTTTGGCGTTAGTTTACTCAGGATAATGGCTTAAAGTTGTATCCATATTGCTACAAATGACATAATTTTGTTCTTTTTTATGGCTGCATAGTATTCCACGGTGTGTATATATGCCACATTTTCTTTATCCAATCCACTGTTAATGGGTACCTGGGTTGATTCCATGTTTTTGTTATCATGAATAGTGCTGCAATGAATATACGGATGTATCTGTCTTTTTGATAGAACTATTTATATTGCTTAGGGTATATACCCAGTAATGAGACTGCTGGGTCGAGTGGTAATTCAACTTTTAGTTCTTTGAGAAATCTCCTAACTGCTCTCCACAGTGGCTAAACTAATTTACATTCCCACCAACAGTATAAAAATGTTCCCCTTTTCCCCAAAGCCTCACCAACATTTGCTATTTTTCTTTTTAACAAAAGCCATTCTAACTGCCACGAGATGTTATTTCATTGCGGTTTTGACTCATGTTTTTCTGATACAATAAGATAAGAATGGGAAAGA